ATTTTATATAGGGTTTTTATTGCCATTTTAAACTTCCAATTTGAAACAAACAGAATTTTGAATGAAATTTCATTGTATTTTAAAGAAACTCAGTCATTCTGTCATTGTTCGTGGAGATACGAACGATTGATATATAAATTATATAAAATAAATATAAAATATAAAAAATAAATCTCCCACTGCCTTCGACATTTCAAAGTGCAGACTGTGTCGAGTGATGTGCAAGTCTATACTATAGATTCGACAGATTCATCATCAGTCAACAACCAAACTGAAAGTATTGAACCTTATAGTCTATAGAACGATAGTTTTTATTTGTTTACAACTATACATATTCAACGGGTATATATAAAGAGTTTAACTGTTATTTGATAATTACTGCATCAACCGGCCCTTTGTTTATACTTTGCCTTTGGAGGTTCGTATATAATATCTATCAAGTATCTTTGGTTCAGAACATGGTAGGCCTATATGAAAATCCCACTGTTCGATTAAGTGAAGAAATATCTCCTAATTTCTATCGATAGTTTTAGTAAAATGTCAACATTATTGCGATTTATGGCCTTTGAAAGTCAAGCAAGCTCGTATATTATCAAATTAATACGCATGTAATTGTCTGAACGAAAATATAGACTAGCCTATATATACCTTTCGCCGATCATAACTTCGGCCCCTTCGGACGTATCTTCTTTGTTAAATATTCTTGTTCGAATCTCTATCAAAAACACTATTTAGAGTGTTATTTTTCAGCTTATATCTTTTAATTTGCTTCTTCTATATTATTTAGGTTATTCCATTTCTGGTCTGAACTTGACGTGAACTAATTAATTCAAAACGCAGAGTTTCAAAACGTCAAAACATTTGGTTAATGATTAACATTTAACCGAATTTAGCCGTTGATTGACAACTACATAAAAATACTAACCAATCCGTTTTTCCCGTTCACCAGCGGACGGGTAATTCAAAAACCCCTAGTTTTGCGGCAGACGGTATTTCCTTTGCTTCCCTAAATTTCGCTGCCCGTAGAAATACCGCCTGCCATGCAGGCTATATCGCGTGCCACCAGAGGTTCTCTTCGCCTCGCGTAAAATAAATATACGAGCGGGAATAAGGCGAAAGATACAGAACCTCTGGCAACCAGGGTAGGGTTTACCCCCCCCCCCCCCACACACACACACACACCGGTGGCTACGTCCCTGGGTGAAATTCAACTCATGCAATTTGCTAAAATACGTGCATCTGAATTTAGTAACTTAGTACGTCTGGTAATGCGAGGTGATTTACTCCTCCATGGAAAATAGGGATTGTCCTCCAAAGCTATCTTACACAACCTGGAAAGGGGGTGCAGATAAAAAGTGGACGGATAAAATGCGGACGGCGGACGACTTACAGCGGAGCATTTTATAAACACATGATTACTACCGCAACTTACTGTAATACCCTAAATTAAAGTATACCAGCTTTACATCTGTAAAATGAGTAGTATGTTTTCACCCGTTCGAATTCTTAGCAATGCAATTTTTTTATGACAATATTTGCATTTCAAATGTCAAAAATAGGTCAATTTCTATTATAATTATACGGATAACATTTGGGTTGCTCGAGTGGCACAGTATTTAATTCTTATTAATTATTTATTATATTCGTTCATTATAATATAAAGGTTCACTTCAATTCAACTACGCCTACGCCTACGGAGAGCTCGTATTTTTTTCAACTGCACAGATATTTTTTTAGAGTTGCACAAATTGATTTAGAACTGCACATTTTGTGTAGAACTGCGTGTTAAAAAAAAACTGTAGAAAATGGTTTTTAGTCATTTTTCTGCCATATAGTATAATAGGATTCCTTTGAAATTTTACCCTAGAGATACTTTGACTGGATATTTTGCGATATATCGTACAAAATGTAACCGAAATGAGTGTGCTTTATTAAATTACTACGTTCGCAAGGACGCCGCGAACGGGGTGGTGTTAAGCCCTCCCCCAAACACACACTTTTCAGCGAACGACTCAGTCGGTGAACTAGTCAATTGATACCCTCGGTAAACTGTCATCTATGGTCAAAAAATATTTGAATAGGATTTGGTAGACCGGCTAATGATCTTTGATTAATCTTTGACCGACGTCATATGCAGTCTGTCAATCAATTACAACGAGTACAAAGAACCAGGAATATTATATGACGTTGTTTCATATATCGCGTGGAATTAATTTTAAATTAGTTTGGAAATTTCCAAAATTGCCGCTTAAAGAGGGTTAAGCCATGACTGCCATTGTCATAAAGGTACATGCAACATTTTCCACAACTGAAAGGGGGAAGGGCAAAAGTGGCCCGAGTAGGAGTAGGACAATACCAGTGACCCAAAAATATTTTATAAAGCACCGGCTAACACACATGCAGGTGGATTCTGTCAGCTCAAGTCGACCATAGATATCTTATATACACTAGATAGCGCATCTCTTTTAGTAAAATTGAAGCCAAGAATATTCCAGCGGTTACTCCCATTTCAATAGATAGCGGCAATGTGGAGTTTCCCACTCGCTAATAAACGCTAAAAAAACAATAACTTTCAGCATTTGAATAGTTTGAAAATGTATTTGGAATAGGTTTAACTTAATGTTTAAGTTCCCTGTTTAAGAAATAGAAAACATACGAGTCTTCTCATTTCATGGGAATATCCTGAGTCTGCAATCACAGCTTCAATTTTTGAACTGTAGAAAAATTAGATGCACTATCCAGTGTATATAAGATATCTATGAAGTCGACTGGTTTAATAGTCTATTCATGCATTGGTTCCTTTTATAGTCGCACTAGGTATTTAACCCCACTGGAAATAGTACAAGCAACATTCAACTCAAATCAACGAAAGGCTATCTGCTATAATTTTCAAAATTTCTATTAAATTATATTTTACTATATTATATCAATCATCAGTATTAAAGCTATATTTCATATGTTAAAATCCATTCAGCAATAGCTAGATTTACAGTGTCTAAAACTAATAATGTATGTCAATGAAAACGGCCTATAAATCATCATTAATTAAGGGACCGGTCATTATTTATGGTGGGGGGTGGCACCGAAGAGAAATGTTTTTCGTGCCAAAAATTTTGCTGACCCAACCATTAAAAAATAAAAAATTTGATTACCCAACCTCAAGTATCATTTAAAAAATAAATACACACTCCTGGCCAAAAACGTTACAAAAGGATACCATTCAGTTGTCACACATGTCCTAGTTACCACTTCTGTGATACGAGTTTGATAACGTTCGGCTAGTGAAATTTACTGACTTTTCTGCAGTCCAAAGTTTCATGTTGTCTGTACATTTACTTTGTTTGGAGACACCATTTGTCTCCCAACAAAACGGAAAATGATAAAGATAGTGACTCTGATTGATTCACATATTGTATTGAAATATGACTGTTGACATTGAAGTTCTCAGTCTTCAATATTTGAGTGAGTCATGCTTTGGAAATGACAATAAATTTTTATTACCCAACCTTTCAGTTGTTTCGTTTTTCATTTACCCAACCTTTTACTCACTCAAAATTTTGTTTACCCAACCCTTTTCTCTTCGGTGCCACCCCCCGCCATAAATAATGACCGGTCCCTTATGACGTCATACTGTGTATCTAAGACTGAATGTTGACAATGGCAAAATCTTATCTATTTGTTAAATTGAAGTAAAACGGAATGAAGATAGACACATAGATTTATTAAAATTACTTCGCAGCCATTAGGCTGGATTACGTAATTATTTTGTGTTTGATTCTAAAAATTATATAACTATATTACAAGTGGTTTCAAAGTTACTAAATAATCATTATTTAATTGTTGACAACCATTTTTAACAACAATTTTTGACAAATTATATCATCGCGCTTGTTTACCTTTAATTTCCATTAAAACATAACTGTAAAAATATAGCATGTCGCGATATTTGTAAATTGTCTTTTTTGCCAGACCTCATCGAGGCTAATTACATTTGATATAAGTTGTCTTTGATGGAAATGTATACGTTTTCCAAAGAAACCTAACTGTGATATAATGTCAAACTTCAACTTTTACTGTTTTATTATGTGTGTAAATACCGATATTAAAAGGGTATGGTACTAATACTAACTCTTCCACAGTCCCTCATCCGTTATCCGTATGCGCGGTCGCGTAGATTCTATTGCATTCCCATTAAGCCCGGCGCTCCCATTGTTTTTCCATTGACCTCTATCCCAACTGAAGCGACGAGGGACGAGGCCGGTACTAATACTTAAACTGTAGAATTATTTGTTTGCAATCACGTGACTTCTCATCCAAATGACGGGCAATACAACAACTTGTGGACGATTTTTCTCCTATCAGAATGGTTGTAGCAAGGAAAACTGAACGGTTATTCATCTTTTGTGTCTTAAACTGTCTCTAAACTCAATCAATACATTAAAATAGCCGGTTTTTGTGTACCTGTCCGTCAACTGAAATCCCAAAATTACGTCATTGCAAACAAACAAGTCAACTTACAAAATTTTTATATTTTTCTTTCGTTAGATATTTTCTAGTTTATTTAACGTGGAAATAAGATGAGGTCACAGACTGGGCAAACATTTTGACAGTGCACAGGACTGCATTACAGGACTCCATTGAAAACTTCATATTGTTGCATGCCAGATTGGTCAATGAAATCATCGATACAGAATGATTTCATCTATTTTGGACAGTGAGCTTAATTTATGATTTTTGCGGGACTGGCATTTTAAGGTAGTCTGTTACCGCCATCAACCTTGTAACACGCGATGATAACAACTTGTTCCAGACTTGTCACAACAACTTGGAACAAGCAGTGCGAACACATCCTGATATTGGCTTGACAACAACCTTGCTACAACTTTTGAGAATTCACATGCAGGACTCCATTAAAAACTTCATATTTTTCTATGCCAGATTGGTCAATGGAATCATCGATACAGACTTAAATTATTTCATCTATTTTGAACAGTGAGCTTTTTTGGTGTGACTGGCTTTTTTTGAAAATATTTTACCAGCTAATTGTGACGTCTTAGATTTGCATATTAATTAAACAACCTCAAATATCTCAAGGACAAAAACGATTCTCACTGCAAAAACAGACGTTTGGGTTTTTTCGGCGCTGGCTTCATGACTCCCACAACTTCTGCATATTCAGTAGGTTGGCCAGATTGATCCTGGCTTTCATTTCCGTCTTGACTGCCAGATACTAACCGTGAAGGATCCATGTAGTTTAAACCATTAATCTGTAGATTCAAAATACGTCAGTTATATAAAAGTGTAGGATGGTGTCAATGGCACATTGGGCGTCTAAAGCTACACGCGTAAAGATCGTGTTCGCAACAGGCTTGCAGCAAGCTTGTCAACAAGATGTGTTCGCAACAGGCTTGCAGGAAGCTTGTCAACAAGTTGTAACAATGCTGTTATTTTATCAAGTTGCTACAAGGTTGTCACCCACAACTTATTGGCAAAATGTTGATTTGTATAGGACGAGTTGTTGTTGAAACAACTTGTAACAAGTTTGTTAAGCTCAACAACCTTGTAACAACTTGTGAACAAGCTGGAAACAAGCAGTGCGAACACACCCTGTTGACAAGTTGTTGAAGTCTGCTGCAGGCTTGTTACAACTTGTGCGTTTTTACGTGTGTGCACGACGCGTAAAAATGTCACAGCTGGTCAACAAGATGTGTTCAGCTGTTGAGAAGTCAGATTTAGTCTGAAAAACACGGAACCGGAAGCGCAAGAAAACTTGCAGTAGTTTCTAAAGCGCATGCTCTTGAATTGGGACGCTTCAGCACCCGTAATAATTTTCACAGACAAATATTACGAAGGAACGAAGTATTTGTGTTGACATATTTTGACAGAATAATCTTTTCTAGCGAAAATTGCTCAACTTCTGCGAAATAGGAGTTCTCTGAGAAGCCAATCAGATCTCTCCCTTCGGTCGTCTAACCCAGGGCCTAATTTTCAACGAATTTTCAATGGCTCTGGGGACGAGAATGGTTTGGTCTGCAATGTTTGATTGTCTTTTTTAAGGCTACACGCGTAAAAATCTTCCAGCTTGTCAACAACATGTGTTCGCACTGCTTGTTCCCAGTTGTTGACAAGTCTGGAACAAGTTGTTATCATCTTGTAACAAGGTTGACGAGGCCAACAGACTCGCAACAAGTTGTTCAAACAAGTTTGATATCGTCTGCACGTAACAAGTTGATGACAAGTTGATGACAACAAGCTCGTAGCAACCTGTTACGAACAGCCTGTATTAGTCTTGTTGGAACAACTTGTAGAAAGTCTGTTACCGTCATCAACCTTGTAAAAAGATGATAACAACTTGTTCCAGACTTGTTACAACAACTGGGTACAAGCAGTGCGAACACATCCTGATATCGACTTGACAACAACTTTGCTACAACTTGTTTACAGATGTGTAACAATTTGCTAGGTTTTCATGTGTAGCTGAGCTCCTGTGGTAACATTAATTCCAATGAAACAACTTACTGGACCTTTAGCGAGAACAATTTCAAAAGTACTATTCAAGTGAATTTAATAGCTTAGTTTAGTCTAGTCTAGATTAGGTAATTTCTAATGCTGTTGTATCACTTTTTGAGCATTCATCTCGTTCAAATCAATAAACATTTTTAGGCGAGACTTTTTTTATTTATTGGTTTACGGATTTGACTTTAAAAATAAGAGGTCGGTAGGTCGGAAAACAAATTAAAAAAAAACACGAACTGAGTATAAATGAGAACCGAAATTAATAATCTTTATAAAATTTTTTAACGTCAATTTAAAAAAAAAATGCAAAAAACGTGGCTAATCTACATATTGATTGTCACAACGATAACATGAGCCAGCAGTACCTAGAGTCAAAGTTCACTTGAAGTGTACTTCATGTCTCTTCATGTCAGAACCCCAAATAATTAAAATTAACTAAAATTGTAAAATTTTTGACATCCAAATTTATTTTTTTTATTTTTCACTTTCTGAATATTTACGGTCGGCGGATCCGTAAACCAATGAATAAAAAAAGTCTCGCCTTACCTTTTTAGTACTTTTATTTTCCTCCGGAAGAGAATAGAGATCTACGTTAACATAAATGCGTTCGAGATCAGCATTATTTTTCTCTGGCGATGAGTAAGCAGAATCTGCAGTAGCGACATTGATCTCTTTCTTTTTGATATCAGGAGTTTCATACCGCGGCTCTGGATAAGAATTAACGAGATTGATTTCTCTTCTATTGACATCAGGCGTCGCATATCCAGGATCTGCTTGAGACTCAGCTTCGTTGCCTCGTCTTTTTTTCATATTGACGGGTTCGTATCCAGGTGGGTTATAATTGGCGGTTTTGTCTTCTTTTCTTTTAATATCTACCGCTCCATATATTGGGTTGGCTTCCGCGATCACGCTCTCGCTATTCGGCGTTGAATAACCAAAGTTTGCTCGAGCGCCAAACGTTTCGTTTGTAGTGCCCCTGGCTTGTCCATCTTCATAAGCATCCTGCCCCCGTGGATTACTGTTTTTGTGTCTGAAGTGCATCAGGCGTGCAATAACTAAATAAGACGCATTGTTATTATCTCCGCCAGAGTATGTAATCATCTGGGTTGTATGTCAGTATGTGTGTATGCGTGTCACACATTATGGGGGCTTCGGCGAGTTTTGTATGCACACTGTGGGGACTCGCCGCATACTGGGGACTGTGTGTATCTGGGTTTGTATGTGTGTGTGTGTGTGTGTATGTGTGTGTGTGTATGTGTGTGTGTGTGTATGTGTATGTGTTTGTCTGTGAGCACGATAACTCAAGAAATACCAAACATATCCGTACGAAATTTTTTGAATGCATTTCCCATCGGCTAAGGAAGAACTGATTAAAATTTGGTTGAATTTGGTTAAAAATTGAACGAGAAATGAACAAAATTTTGTCTTGCTTTTCCCGGTCAATTAACAAAAAATATTACTGAATGCGTAATTAGGACATGTATAATTTATGCACTCAGTACTAAGACAATAATGAGATGATAAACCTCATTAAGCTTCGGCCTTCAGTATCTATTGTCTTAGTTGCATTTCACGCGACCGAAATTCAATGTCTAAAACAAGGCTTACAGAGTTACGCATTATTACGTTCAGCAAAGTGCCAGTCCATTCAAATTCTAACAACATTAGATTACTTCAATACAGGGTGTATAAAAAAACGCAACCTCGGAATTTCCCAAGAAATCGACATTGTTTTAAAGACAAAAGATTTTAGCTGCCGGGGAATTTAAAATAGCACAACTGTGAAAATTACTGCACGCGCGAGTGCATAAAGCAAAATTTATGCATTATTTAATGACACTTAATAAGTTTTTATTTTACAAGTACTGTACAGTACAACAACAGTAATATGATCTATTA